ACAGAGATGTATTTGAGATGGATAGGTATTCTTCAAACCTTTCAAAGACCTATAGACATATGGCATTTAAATGATTTAGGGTTTTTCTTGGCAGTGAGACACAACTGCTCCTGGCACACCAATTATATCAGAAAGGAGGATGGGCATTGAAGAAACTCGCTTTGGAGTTTGCTTTCAACATGGCAAGATTAGCCATTTGGGTAAGAAACTGCTCTTGCCTGGACTGTTTGTTGCTGTATTAACTAGACATGTAGGACCCACAAGAAAGTGACTGCTGAACTTACAAAACAAGAAAGTACTGAAGGGTTCCTGTTGAAATGGAGAAGTATGTCAGACACATTGTGGCCTATGGGCTGAAGATGGATGCCCCAACGTTACAGAGGAACTTTGGGTGACTGTCCAGGTAGCAAGATGTCCTATCAATTCTAGAGTTTATATATTTCCCTTCTGTGGTCTTTGCTAGAGTTGAAGACAGATACTTATGGTTATAGTTTTCTTCAGTTATTATAAAAGATAAGTTATCCTTTTATTTTAGACAGAAAAGAGGAAATGATGGGGGAAGTACTTCTGTGTATGTTTATCTTATTGATTGTTTAATAAAGTTCTGCTTGGCCAATGAAATGGCAAGTTAGGCAGGACTAGGAGTCAAAGAGGATTATGGGAAATGTAGTAGAGAAATGGTGATCCAGGCAGGAAGTGACATAGCAAGGAGACTCATATTAAAAGAAGGAGAAACAGGAAGCGTCCCTTTTTTCCCCTTCCTCCTCCAGCGGCAGGATGTGATCCACCGGCAAGGAGGGATGCCAATAAGGCATCCGATAAGTCTTATAACATATATAGATTTATGATAATTAAGACTGAGCTAGCAGATGAGAAGTCCTAGTCATTGGCCAAGCAGCTTTGAACCTAATACAAGTTTCTGTGTATTCATTTGGGCCCTAACTCAGGCGGGCGGCTGGCATAAAGCTCACACATGGTGGTGGGGCTCAGGCAGCTTTTGGCAGAAAGATTTATCATAACAAATTACCAGCATGGCAAGCTGTCCCTAAGGGTATGGTAGTGGGATTTGTATTTTGATGGTAACTACTTGACAGGAGGAAAATCATGCCTGATACTGAAAACTTACCCAACTTCCCATTGATAATGATATCATGGATCTTAGAAGAGAACCTACTATTACCACTTTATGAGACCTGAATAATTCCTAACAACATTCTAAATACTTGTCTTTATATCAACAGACAGGTGTAGCTCACCATTTAGCAAAGAAATTTCTCTTTGCAACAAATGGAGACCATTACTGCAACGCTACAACTGATCAAAATGCAAAGAACTGATCATAAGTGCCCAGCACCAACAGATACATTGACAAAACAATTCCTTCACCTAAGGCTCACAGAATATTGTGACAAAGGTGACAGAAACATTGTAAGAGTCAGAGGCCCAACCTTGCCTGCAGATCTCCCTGCACTGAGCATCCACAGAGTCCCACCGCACGCCAATGGAGCGGACGTGGGCAGAGCTATGGTGGTCAGATTGGGGCTGGGGTTGCTGCTTCTGGCACTGCTCCTACCCACGCAGATTTATTGCAACCAAACATCTGTTGCACCGTTTTCAAGTAACCAGAGTATCTCTACTGCCCCAAATCCAACTAATGCCACCACCAGAGCAGGTGGCAGTGCCCTGCAGTCAACAGCTGGTCTCCTCGCCATCTCACTTTCTCTTCTACATTTTTACTGTTAGAGACTCAGTCCAAGAAACGTCTCTACTTCCCCATTTTCTAGACCCAGCCCAAATGGTAACCACAAGTCCAGTGTGACCTGGAAGAAACAGGCCCACATCAAATCTACTATTACCACACCTCAACATGAAAACTTTGAAAATTCATGTGAAGGGTATTACAGATGATGAATGCCAATATTGAATCCGCTGGAGTTTTATGTTCAAGATGAAGAGATAACATCCAACGTTGACGTGATTGCCTTGAACGAGGCTTAGGAAATGCAGACACCTGGTCTATCTTGAAATCAAGCATAGGTTTTATGTAGAAATGAGGATGGAATGTGGGATGAAGATTCAGTTTTCATTGGCTCATTACCTGTGAGGCCATAACACAGCTAGGTGACATTAAAGATTTCTTTCATGTTATTTATGTATATGTTGGAAGGAACTACCAGGTGCTACTTTAAATCCTCAATGTATTGTTTCATTACTACTAATTTAATATGCTAAACTCTAGGTAAAGTTCCACATTGTTGAGCTGTTCTCTTGAAATTGAACATATTACCCTCCCTTCTGTGGCTTTAAGTTCAACTTATATTTGACCTTTATTAGTAATTGACATGTGTCAGGCAACTATGGATTGGAATTGACCCCCAAATCCAGCCATCATTGAATAAATCTTATTTCAAAAGTCAAATAGTAGGCATTTTTCCATCATCTTTTTTCATTTAACAAGAGTGCCAGGTTCACTTAACTGATTCCATCAGAAGAATAAAAGTGACATCAGCCAATTTCAGTTGCTGCTTTTTATTTCTGCATATGTTGAGGGGTTTTCATGATTCAAGGTGTGGTCTTTTAGGAAGGTAAAATTATGAATCTTCAAATCCTAAAGGCAAATATGCAAAGGAGCCAAAACCATAAACCTAGTATTTGGGACATGAAGACTGGACGCTAACTTGCATTGTATTCACAAAGTCTTTTATACAATTTCTGTAAATACTTTTTTTAAAAAGAGAAAAACAAAACAATGGATCAGAATAGCCACATTTGGAATACTTTGGTTATCAGTTCATATTTTTAGATAGTTTGACATTGGTCCTGTGCCTGAAAGGGGGTTTGGTTCTACAGTTAAGTTTTTCCAACAGCTTTCATATACACATACCTTCTATAACATAGACATTCCTTGGAAAAAACCTTTTGTTCGCATGGTCACACACTGATGCTTACACATTCTGGGATCTAATATGACCACAGTAGTCTTGATAACCAGAGTCACTTTCTCCATCTTTAGAAACCCACCTGGGAACAAGAAGACCTCAGACCCGAAGCTACTGTGTGTGTGAATGAACATTCCTCTCACCTCCTACCTGAATGCTGTACATCTATTTGATTGTATATTGTGTTTGTGTATTTATTCTTTGATTCATAGTAACTTCTCATGTTATGGAATTGATTTGTCTTGAACACAACTGTAAATAAAGCAAAGAAATGGCTGAAAAAAGAAGAGTCAGAGGCCCAGGAACTCTGCTGTGAGATTGTGTCTCCGAGAAGTGACAGAAATGGCATGGATGCTTTATCATGACACCTTCATAATATGGCTGCCAAAACAAGACCAGAACAAGGAAAACAATACTAGATATGATAAAGGAGGGAATCTCATATTATCTCTGACCACCCAACCAAAGAGCTATAAGTAACAAAGGAATCATGAGAGCAGGAGAAATAATCATTCTCAGGGATGAGGTGACACCACTTATTGGCTATTTGATACCATTTAGTTAGCTTTGAATTCATATATATATATATATATATATATATATATATGTATATATATATGTATA